AACGAGAGAAAAGTTGGGAGACGCCTTTGTTAAAGATGGACGGTACGAGGCGAGAAATAGGGAGGCAAGAACGCGGCCGTATTGAATTTACACGGTGCTACACACGCAGAAATGCAACAAAAGATCTCGTATTCGAGTTTCGGACCGTACAAAGGAGCTTTACTTTCTTCGCTCCAGATGGAAACGGCGGATAATTAAGTCCGAGGTGGGTACGTGCATTTCGCAGAAGCAAACACCGTATACCCTCTATCTGGCGTGTTCGCCAACCATCCCACGATTCTAATGAATCGTCCATTACGTACTCGCGTTACATACCGTTTGTTTGCCGAGCTACGTCTCCGCAAATACTCGATATATTCCGGACAGATTCTCGCACACGATTAACTCGTTCTTGCGGTGAACATTCTACTTTTGGATCGAGACCGGAGTTATCTTTGGAGATTCGGGTCTTGAGGAATTTCGTCTTTTTATAAGGATGGAACGATAATTTGAGTCACCAACGATGGCGCAAAAATAAACCTACCTTACGTTTAATTGAAATACTCGGCTTTTTTAATTAGGTTGAGGCTTGCGCTGTTTACACAAGGTATTTGCACGCACGATCGTGTTTGTTACAGCATGTACGTGCTAATTAATTACTTCCAAGTAACATTTAGATTTGTACCATTTAGTGCTTTCGTATGACTAGAAAGATTTGAATGCAGAATACAGCGCTTCGTTGGATAAATAAGCGTAAATATTTTTTCTGGGCACCGAGTAATCGTAATTCATAAATTCAGATTTAAATATCTTAAATAAAACGCTCCAGAACTGTTCCAAAGAGTGGTTAAGAATTAAACAGATGTTAATCTCGCTTATTTACTCTAGAAACATCGGCGATGTTACAGTCTCCCTTGCCACAGTTCTGCCACGATTCTCGAGATCTTTATCCAGACACGATAAAACTCTGGGTAATATTGATGACGACCGTTTAAGAATTCTTTCGATTGAATCAGATATTTTCCCATTTTCCTTTCGCTGACGATCTCAGTTACCATCGAGACGCAGCGATTCAGCGAGAAAGCGAATAATAAATGCGCGTTATTTTCCTCTAGCTTTGGGATTCTGTAAAACGTAGAGGAAAATAGACCGTAGCTGATTGTGAGCTATCCTTCTCGCCCGTGAAATTGATGACACCAGGATTTCAAGTTCGCGACGGGATTTCGATGCCGACTAACTTTTCCGAGAAAGCTCTTAAAGGAAGCTCTTTCTTAAAAGGTCGCCCCTTGTTCCTGCGTCGGCGAATAGACCGTGAACCGTGTTCACCGACGATGTGGACATTTTTGCAAGCGACGCGCACTCGATAAAAATTGTTTGCTCAGGGTTTGTTAATCTCGACGAAAAAATATAGTGGGATCGTAAATTAAGGCGTTAAGTGGACACGCTAGTTTCGTCCTCTTTCTTTAAAACGTATTATCAAGTATTTTTTCATTTCTTATTTTTTGTACGTTGAAATGTTCGAAGTTTCCTGTGACTTTTTGCTTGTTAAGCAAAGTAACGTTAGATATACTTGTTACGAAATAATGACAAATGTCTTAAATCGAAAGAAGAAAGACGATATACCGTTGCTCCATAGTGATCGTAACCCAGGTAACGATATAGCGAGATCATGTTATCGTATCGAAATGAACGATACCGTTCACGCCGATCGATAACGCCATTGTCATTCGATCGCTCGAAACATTCGTAGTTTTCCGTTCGACTAGCTTCGCAATCTCGTAAATCGTAGCCCGGGCTATAATTACCGTACTGATACAAACTGACCTGCAGCTACAAAAGAACTACTTCTCGGTTGACACCCTACGCTTCCTGTAAGGCTCGAACACGCTATCTCTTCTCGGATCTTCCGAAACCCATGTACTCTTCAAGCCTGATTAACTTCGTGACTTCGCTATATCTCTTTCACACAAAAGTACACCAAAGAACTCTGTTCACCGTAGATCTGCTCGTGTTCTGCGTGCGACAGACCCGTTAACGTCCTGTTCACGAATTACCGGCGAATTGTTCGCGAATTGTTCGCGAGCTTCAACGCTCAAACGCTAAACGTCCGAAACTTCAACACGTTGTTACTTTCCTTTTATTATATTTTCGTCTTCCATAGAGTTTTGTCAGGTCAAAAGTGGACAAATTTTCAGCCATTTTTGTAATACCTCAATCTCTGAATTTAGAACGAGCGATTTTTATTTTTAATTACATCGTATGAAAATCCTCCTGTTCAATCATAGAGTATCATAAATTCGAGAAACCAATAAAAATATACTTGTCGTGTTATTCTACTGTAACCTTCAATTTTGATCAGTGCGGACGTAGCTCACGATTCGTGAGTCGACTGTTTCGACTTGTCCGAGCACGAGACTATCCTCGCGGAAGAAATTGCAGCTTAAAAGTGTGCTTGGCAAAGCGCCACGCTGCGTCATCACTCGTATCGTTGGGACTCGAGTTTACTGGCGAGCTGCTACAGGTAAACATCTACCTGATCCTCAAACGTTTTCAATTATCGGTTTGGTTTCGATAGCAGAGAGTCAACGTTTCATTCGGTACTATGGATTTCGCAGCCTGCAGGCTGCAACGTCTTTGGATGACTTCATCCATAATTCTTTCCCCGTTTTATTCTTCGCTTTATTAAACTTTAACCCTGGAACGTCGCACTGGGATCTTTCGCGTCTGACGATGCGATCTTCATACATTTTGAATATATAAAGAATTTTGTAAAATTGATGCTAAGATACTTTCAAACGTTTTATCGTTGGCCAGTTCAATATTATGAAACCCAAAACCGCTCGGAAACAATTAAAGAATCCTTTTATTTACAATTACTTTGTATTGCCGCAACTAAAATTAACATCCTACATTTCTATCGTGTACGATTGTTATTTAGGATGAAATTCTGTTTCTAAACGTTGTTCGCGTTTCTACAAATTTTATCTCCGAAACTACTTTCATCGGATAACAATGTAGAGCCCAACGACGGCTCGTAACGTAAGACGCATTGTGACGGCTGGTAGTTCATCGTAAATATAAAAAGTTGATGAAGTAGCCAGGGATAAAAAATGACCCGGTTTCTTCCGTATGAACGAAATAAGTTCTTGAGTTTTTCAACGGGTGTTGCATTATTTTCAACAGCTCCGTGATGTTTATAACGGAGGCGAAAAATTGAGAAACGAATTGCTCGACGTTTAGTCCATTCTTCAAGTGGTAAGATGCTGTATCTCTTTTCCACGCGTGTCTTAACACGTGGAAACATAATTTTCTCACTCTCGCGTATTCCGTCCGATGTTCCGTACCGTTAAACGCGAGATTGCTCGAATACTCAGTTTCCAGCGTGAAATAAACCGTAACACGCTAAGAAATCGACGAGGTGTTCGAAATTTCAATGGGAAACGAGATCCATGTATTTTCATTGAACTTATATAGCAGCTTTTAACTGGTTTCGATGTTTGTTGCTCTTCTGATCGACGAAGAGTTATAGGTATTCAGGTTCGCAAATATTTAGATAATCGAACGTATGCACAATTATGACGCAACTTTAGAATGCCGCTCGATTTTCTCCCGCTTTTATACTCGTGTGGAAATCCAACCTTTCGCAATTGTGATGCGATCACTCGTAAACATCTAGGCGAAGTGCGGAACATATCTATACGTTTTTCGTGATTGATTTTATTGGCACTTCCATCTTTACGTTTCTAAATACAGTGGTGGCGCAAACTTTCAGCATTTTCAAGTATTCGACGCTCCAAAGATCTCGATGTTCGACCGTAGGACCGCGCTCGAATATTTACATCGAATATTTCCCAAATGTCTAAACGAAAAATTCGAACGTATCGATTTTCTTCATTCTCACAATTTCGACCCTTTAACGTCAAACGTCTCGAGTCTTGACTGGTACGTCCGCTGAAATATTTGCATCTCCTTCAATCGTAATCCTTTTTCAACCCTCTCAATAATTTATTAAACGACAAATGTACTGACCGCTTTATGACGCTTGTAGCTGGATCGTCGAGGACTTTTACATCCTTATTCCGGATGCGTGTAGAGTAAGAGCTGCAGGAAAATTGTCGGATTTGAATTTGCGATATAGCGAGGGAAATATTTCACGTGCAACCTCGGTCGCTTTTACGTGACGCGTATGCCGGAACATCCTACCCTTTATTATTTTGCACGATGGAATTTATTCTGTATATATAAAACGCGATTTTTCTCGATGTCAAGCTCTTACGAAACGATGAAACGCGGTGGATGTAGGAAAATGCAGTTAAACTCTATTTAATCCTGCACAGCTTGGGCCTGGTATTTGACAGATACACGCGAAATCTTTTTATAAATATTTTTAAGTAGAATGCTTGTCAACGAAGAGTAGCTGTCATATGATACATCAAATTTGTATATGTTCACTGTATGGATATAAATGTGTATCGCGTTACATTTTCGGTATAATTGGCCGAATGTGAGAAATTTCTATACCTCGAACATACTATTATCATTTGCGACGGATGTCATAGCTACTTTATACATCTATCAACAGAGGATTTCCATTAATTTATTTAACTGTTCATCCATCATACTTTTTTCACAGTGGGTATATACATGTATACGTAAAATATCTGAATCTGTCACGTTTATATTTCGTTTACGAATATATCTTGCTCGATAATAACAGTAGGTAAATCGTATTCATTTTGATAAACGTAAACGATTTTTTTAATACCTTGTGACCAAATAAATGTTTTCTAGTTTCTATTATGTACGTTTTTAGATTGCCTTCAAAAATCAATCTAGACGCGAAAATCTGACACTTTAGAGAAGAAACGATGCTTCAAAATATTTCATATAACGTATGCGATACGTACACGAGAGATTTGCGTAGTTTCATTTCCATAGAATTTTTATCACAGCCATCTCCATAAGCATAAGAAGAAATTCAGGAAATTTTCCTAAAACGTGTCTCGTATGTTCTGTTACAGGAAGTATTGCACGCGATCAGCGCACCCAGCGGGCAAGTTCAACGCATCGTTATTTTCAAGAAGAACGGCGTTCAAGCAATGGTGGAATATCCTTTACAATACACGTTGGTCCACTCGATGGATTTCGTTTCACGTGTGAAGCACGAGCTTCACGAAGCGTGATAAACGGTCTTAAAGCTCGAGAGGATCTCTCTGACATGGCACACTTTCTTTTTTCTTTTTGCTCTGTGTCTTTGTTTTTCTTCTCTTTTATTTTCTTTTCTTTTTTCTTCTTTTTTTCTCTCTCGACAAAACGGCTATCCGTTGGTGAAGTTTGTCAGTCACGTGCCACCGTTCCAATGCGATCAAGATTTATAAGCGGAACTAGCGAGTGACACGGTTACAGGATCTTCCGACTGCCGCGTCACTCACTGTAAGCCTCTGATACCTTGGCCCGAATATCGACGAGTTACTTGCGGCATAGTGGATGAGCGTTGTACCCAGTTAAAGATGGCTCTTCTCTATTTGGAAATTACCGAGGGCTCGAGGACGTACGAAAGATCCCTTTTGATACTTATAAATTATTCGGATATATATATATTATTTTCTATAATCTTTGATCATCGAAATGGGGCCATATATAATTTTCGACATTTTTTACCTTTTTCTTTTTCTTCTTCTTCTTTCTTTTTTGTAAGTGAAATCGAGATATTCGTTTAGATATTAGGTTGTCGGAAAAGTTTCTTTCCTTTAGAGACACGTCTTTTACAAGGACGCATCTTCATACAAACATGAAACGTAATCTGTCAAACGTTGTAATCTTTATGTTGATAGAACAAAATGGATCATACGTAATTCGATAAAGTAATATAAAACGAAAAATGTTGTGCATCCATTATTTCCTTATGAAACGAAAGAAACTTTTCAGACGACCTGATATTTACGTCGAACAGGTAGTTACGATTATTATCTTTGGAATCAGAGTTAGTCGTAATTTTCGACGTTTTTATTTTATTTATTTATCTATTTTTCTGGTAATATTGCGAGCCTCTAACAGACTTTATTTCCACGCAATAGCAAAGTTTACTATGGAATTATTCAGATGTTATACACGCATGTGTTGATAATTTATGCTTATCTTGCTTGTTCCGATACGATTCATAGAATTTTCAAACACGTAGTTTACACACAAGAAGAGAATAATTTGGCAAGTGCAAACGATGCAGCCCTCGTACGCGATTATTCCTAAGTTTCCAAAATTTCAAGCAGGCACGTAGCGTCGAGTAACTCATAAAGTCGAGAGGCGTAGCAGCAGCTCGTTATTAAAATTCAGCTGTAAAACGACGTATGAGATATCTGATCTTTTCTTGGAGATGTACATTCGTCGTCTATTCTCGATGCTTTGAATTTTTTTTTTTATTTCGAATCCATAGCACTCAGACCGTCTTTTATTCATTATCCGTTGTTTCTTCCAAATCCTCCGACAGTTTTTATATCAACCGATAGATTCCTAAAAAGATTCACTTGTTACAAGTGGTCCATTTTCTCGTGAAAGACAAAATAACGTTCGTCAATTCGTCAAATTTCCATGTTTTATTTAATTTCGCCGTTCAGATTATTATTTTATATTTTTAACCGTGAATTAGACTCGTGCCTAGTAGTTCAACTGTCGTAAGATCGTGACGCGTAATGTTCGTACCGAATTACTTAATTTTCATTTGTATCTTTTTAACACTACGAGCAAAGACCACGCGAATTAAGATCTAACTCGATTGTAATCGAAACTAATGCGATCACCCACGATCCATACTACTTGGGAATTACGATAAATCGCTAACTGGAAGTTTTTTCGATTTCGTTCAGCAATATTTCGCTTAGCCATAATTTTGATAGATTTCAAATGAATCGCGCCATGTCGAAACATATGGGAGTCCTCTCGGAGCTATAAATAGAAATTGTTCGTTAATTTTTACTACTACCCAGACAGAGCTATCTATATATCCTTAACCGAATCTTTCGATAACCACGTTCGACACGGTGGAATCGGCAACAAGAGCAAAGGAGACGCTTCACGGGGCAGACATATACTCCGGTTGCTGTACGCTGAAGATCGACTTCGCCAAGGTAAGTCCACGAAATCAATCGTACGCAAAGAAACAAATTGATTCTCCGTTCTGTTCTCTGTATCTCGAAACCGCCTTCGAAAAGATTGCAAACAGTGGCTGCCGTGTATAGTCGAAGGTCGGCCTCACAGGCTGCGCGATTTCATGGTAAAATGTATGAAAAAATAAAAGAAAATAAGCCACTCGAGAGCCTCGCTGTTAATATTCATGAGAGAGAATCCGACGGAGAAATGCCTGCGCAAATAATGGAAACGCTCTAGATTCACGGTTCCCTTACGTAACTGTGGAGAAAAGGAGTGGCTGTAGATGGGCCCCGGCGCACTTACCGTACCATAAAACTCGAGGAAATTTGTCGGTTTCATTCATTTTACGTGCTCGTTACATATTCCAATTACCCACGGTACAAGCGGCTCTGCCACGGTGACGACATTCTTTTCAATATTTCATTCGACGTCTAATTAGCAAATCCAACAAATAGAGCTCGAGAGCTGACTTACTATACGGGGATGAAACGCGTTTCTCGCCGCGTTTATTCCTGGCAAACTATAGAAACGCGTGTACACCTTTCAGAAATTCTCTCTTCTACGGTACATCTTTCGAGCGATATCTTTTGTCTCGTCTTTGATATTTAACTCGCGACGAGAAACGCTGTTCCCTGTTCACTAAGCATTAGAATTCAGCCAAGTGTATCAGAAAAATTATTAGGAAATTATGCGTACCTTTAAGAATGGTTGTCTCGTTTAAAATAATAATATAATAATCCTATCAATTCGTTAGGATAAAGTAAATCTTCCGCTCGTTTATGTGCGTCGTGCCTTTACAAATGATTTTACAACACGAAGTCGGATTTTCACAGACGTTTCGTAGTCTTCTATCCGATTCACCTCAAACTTTTTCAATACAAGTTAGAAAGCTGTTGGGGCTAATGCTTGATTATTATAATTTATCATATCTGGAGCACTTCTAAATGAAAATTCTCACAGATCGAATTGCTTCTCTTTTTTTTTTTTTTTTTTTTTTTGATAATCTCGATTGAAATTTGGATACGAGCTTGCTCGGTGTCCTGATACTTGGGAACACGGGTTATTTACGAGTCTCGCGACTACAGATGGTAAATTATATTTTAATTCACAACAGAGGGAAGGTTATTCCGTTCTTCTCTTTTATTGCCTTAATTACAAATATCCCATCGCCGACGAAACGATGTTATTTCGCGTTTTTTTTTTTTTTTTTTTTTTTTTTTTTTTTTTTTTTTTTTTTTTTTTTTTTTTTTTTTTTTTTTTTTTTTTTTTTTTTTTTTTTTGTTTTTTTTTTTTTTTTTTTTTTTTTTTTTTTTTGATAATCTCGATTGAAATTTGGATACGAGCTTGCTCGGTGTCCTGATACTTGGGAACACGGGTTATTTACGAGTCTCGCGACTACAGATGGTAAATTATATTTTAATTCACAACAGAGGGAAGGTTATTCCGTTCTTCTCTTTTATTGCCTTAATTACAAATATCCCATCGCCGACGAAACGATGTTATTTCGCGTTTGCCTCTGTCAGCTGTCTCTTCTATCGTGAAAAGGATCGCAGTGCAAACAGCAACTAGCACCGCTCCGGAGAGCAGTGAAAAGAAAATCACGCGCATTAACGTTAGGCCCGCGGCAATGAGGTCTTCCGTGCCGTTTGAAAGCAGGCAAAGAGAGTGGTTCGTATACCCGAGACGTGCGAGCACGAAAGCCGCTCGTTTCTCGCCTAACGAGTGAGATTTTGTTTCAGCTTTGTTCGAACCGTGAATCGATCGAACACCTTTTTCAATCGACGCTGACATCTTTCTATCTTCTATCGTACAAACGGATCTATTTTTCCTTTTCTAGTTAGAAAACCGATAGAAAATTGTTTCTCTTCTCATTCGCCGATACGTGTACCTGAAAAACATATTGGTTTGTCGAGAGTTACGTCGATTTTTCAACGTGCCAAGAAAGAGTTGGTATTTTTCAATTATTATAAAACCAGTTTCCATGAAAATTCCACGGAGAAGTTTCCACGATAATGGTTTTATAACGTAATTGTTTAGACCAAACAATAAGCTAATTCGTTTTTATACGTGCAAGGCCCTCGTTGCTTCTTTAATTGGAGAATTAATTGAAAATAATTGTACCAATGCGTTTGTTTCTAAAACGTAATTAGCTCCGGTGTTAGCAAACAGTTTTTCCCTATTAGAATTTCCAACGAATATCGTTTCGTTTGCCCCGATAAACGTACGTTGTTAACGTGATTTAGCGTATCGCGTTCGCTCGACACCTAATTACCGATAATTGCTCACTTCGCGTATCGCCTCTAATAATTAAATAGTCGGTAATGTTCGTTCGCGGTTCATGCTTCAAGAATCGAAACCTAACCACTGCACGTGCGAACGAATTCGCTCGCGTATATAGCGATTCACGCTAATACGCGTAATAAATATAAAGTATTTGCAGATGCGAGTATTCTTTCGATGTGCATTCTCGAGGCTCATCGCAGTCGACGCACGATCTCCACGTTTCCTGGCATCAGACGTCTCTCGTCAAGATGCTGTCATATGATTCATACTTACACACTATGTTGTACGCGTATTTCGCGCTTCTTGTTAACACACGCGAGAATCTGTTATTTGGCAGATCTTTCCATTGGCAATAGTTGCGTAAAGGGTGGGATCGCTCGGCCACGCAGGCTCCGCCTCGAAATCCAATTTTGAACTTTGGGTCGTGGCTTAAGCTCTATTTTCATTAGAGACGAACTGTCGTTTTGGCAAATACCTTGGCTCACCGTGGCCAGAAAGGAATATGTTTCACGCAAAGTGTACGGGCTATCGATGTCGGCCCACGTTTCATCGATTCGCGATAAATCTGTTTTTTTTTCTCCTTCTAATTCTCAGTGTGGTTGAAAAGATTTACGTAACAGGATGCAGAAATTTTCAGCGATGCATTTCTATAGCGGCTCACGAAGCTGTTCGATCATCAAGTACCTTGTAACGCGTATATTTTCAAATTTCGAATTGCACCAATATAATCATGACAGAGACGCCTTATTACGGTGCTGGTTAAATTTCAAAACGTATTTTACGTAACACGCGCGATATGCACGTAGAAGCTTTCTATGGTAAGCGTTGAAATAGGTGCACGAGCAACCGTATGTGAAACGAGATACGCGGCGTAATTAAAGGGAAATTTTCTTAGAATTAGAAGCGATCGATTCGATGCGACTGAACAGACAGATGGGATTATATTTAATTCTCGCCTGTGTATCGAAGCAGTTGAATGGAAACGCATGCACTGAATACAGTCGGAAAGCCATATCCGCTGCGGGCTTTAATCTGTTTCTCAATACCAATCACGCGCCGATAATCACGTATAGGCGTGTAATATCTCAAATCGTGATTGACAACTTTTCAAGCACGTATCGTCTTCTGAAAGTTTATGCAATTCGCTGTTTAACGGGTGTTCGATAGATCGTTGTTCCCTTCGCGGTTCTCGAAATGTACGACGTTCGACGAAAAAGTGGCGCAATTGGATTTTTGTGGAGAAGGAAATAAGTAGAATTTTCGTGGGCGATTTCCATGTAAATTTTCCAGACTTTACGAGTATATATAGCAACGCGTTTTAAAGTTTGCAAGTGTACAGATGTTGTTATCCAAGTTTAACTTTACCCTCGTTTTCCCGTAATTAACCATTTCCAGCCGTGCGATTACATTTCGAGTCATTAACTTACAATTTGCGTACTAGAATTTCTCGCTTTGGGATATTCTTTCTCTTCGAACAATTTTCAAATCTGCCAGTTTATACAAAATAAAAGAAATATTGTATTTTTTAATTGAGAGAAATACAGCGAGCAACTCAATCGGTCCAAGTATATCAAATTTCGTATTAATTAGCGACACTCTCGTACGATTAAATAAATTTGATACTGTAGAGACGAAGCGTAGAACCTGATAAAAAGGAACGCTTCCTGCGAAAGTCAGGGTACGTATACGTTTCAGATAATTCAAGTTTGCGCAGATTAGAGATTTTTTCACCATCTGTGCCAGTTTCGTAACACGGAAAATTTGTTAAAAAACCTCTGATTCTCGCAATCCTCAGGTTACGCAGATTTCGCGCCCACACGTTCCCTCGTAACAGCGATCCTTTCAAACTGGAAATCATCGATAACGATGCGCTCGTAGCCTCCCTGGCATAAGCGTAGCTCGATGGAAATCGTTTGTATTCGATAAATTTGCACGCCGGCCCTTATGCGCGAGGAAACCGAACATAAGCGAGCACGTAGCGATGCTTTGTCAAGCTGTCAGCGCTGCTTGCGATATTTCCCAAACGAAGTTGCCGTGTACGCCAGTCAACAACGCGCACGTATCCTCTCGAACGCGTAAATGTTGCTTTTTCTTTCAACCCTTTTTTTCGTCGCACTCCTCCATCCACGAAGTTTCGACTAAATTTGACGAAAGAAAACGGCTCGATTAAAGCGATGAAAAATCACCGCGTTAACCAGGTTCGATTACTTTGATAACAGCCACGGTGAAAAATGGCCGTGCAAAGTAGGCAATCTCGAACTTTCGAAAGGCAATTATAGGAAATTTTATGTAAAACGAGCCACTCGATGGGCCGACTCAGGCTGCGAACGAATTTCGAACGAATTTTCCGGTTGCTTGTTATACGTATTCGCTGGAGTGCGACCTCGCGACGTATCGAAACTTTATAACGAAAGGCCAATCGTCGGTGGCCGTGGCCATTTTATCGTATTAGGCTTGAGAGTAGCGAGACTTTCGTGGTACACTTTGTCGAGCAGTTCGATCGACGAATACTCGATGAACCAAAAATATAGATTCGGATTTGAACGATAGCCTTCGTTTTATGCTGTAATTCGTGGATGTAGAGGTTTCGCGTTCCTGTTGCTATTCCGCGGTACACAATAACGTAGAGCGTATTTTCGACCGATCGGTACATAACAAACGAACACCATTATCGGATGGTTTATGTTCAGACAAA